ATGCTTCCAGTCTAATATGGTTGATATCCATCACTTAGTTCCAGAGAAGAAGTCGCTTTAAAGCAATATAGCCAAATAACCCTTTTTGGCCCCGCCCCTCAGCCCCCTGGGGGGTCAGCCACACCATTTGTACAATTTTGAATCCCTGCATCCCATGAATGCTTTTGATTAAATATGATTGATATCCAGTGCATAGTTCTACAGAAGAAGTCGTTTATAGCAATCTAGCCAAATTGCCCCCTTTTTAGCCCCGCCCCTCAGCCCAACCATTTGTACAATTTTGAATCTCCACCACCTAGGGATGCTTCCAGGCAAATATGGTTGATATCCATCTCTTACTTTCAGAGAAAAGTCGCTTAAAGCAATATAGCCAAATTGCCCCCTTTTTGCCCCGCCCCACCATTTGTACAATTTTGATTCCCCACCACCTAAGGATGCTTCCAGTCAAATTTAGTAAAATTCCAATCAGTGGTTAGGAAGAAGAAGTCGTTTAAAGAAATTGTTGACGGACGGACGACGGACGCCATGGTATGGCATAAGCTCACCTTGGTCCTTTGGACCAGGTGAGCTAATAAATAAATGCACAATAAATTAGAACTGACAAAGACAAATCTTGTTAATAACAAAACACATCTTTATGTCAGGTTGTGATCAACACATTCTACCTATGATATTGTTTACGTCACAACAAACACATTCTACCTATGATATTGTTTACGTCCCAACAAACACATTCTACCTATGATATTGTTTACGTCACAACAAACACATTCTACCTATGATATTGTTTACGTCACAACAAACACATTCTACCTATGATATTGTTTACGTCACAACAAACACATTCTACCTATGATATTGTTTACGTCACAACAAACACATTCTACCTATGATATTGTTTACGTCACAACAAACACATTCTACCTATGATATTGTTTACGTCACAACAAACACATTCTACCTATGATATTGTTTACGTCACAACAAACACATTCTACCTATGATATTGTTTACGTCACAACAAACACATTCTACCTATGATATTGTTTACGTCACAACAAACACATTCTACCTATGATATTGTTTACGTCACAACAAACACATTCTACCTATGATATTGTTTACGTCACAACAAACACATTCTACCTATGATATTGTTTACGTCACAACAAACACATTCTACCTATGATATTGTTTACGTCACAACAGAGTCGGCAAAAATAACAACAACAAAAACAAATTGTATTTTATTTATTTTAATGACAAATTTCAGACAAATTTGAATCCAGCATTAGTTTATAATATTGTGAACTGTGAAGTATGGCGTCTGATGTCTCTAATGTATGAAGTCCTGTGACAATCATGTGATGAAGAAGAAATCCATCCATACACAAACAGTCATAACCCTTTTTACACATGATCAAATAATAATAACATGATTTTATGGCATCAAAAACATGACGAATGAAGTGCATCTTTGAATATTTGTGAACTGGAAAAAACTAGTTTGATTCTCTTTACAAAAATATTTCTCTCTGCATGTGTTTTTATTTCAACAGAAAATGAGAACATTGATGGTTGCACTAGGGAGACGGTACATGTCCGACGTTCTTTGTGAATTGAAACAATTACATTCAACAAAAGAAAAGACGTGAGATAACTTCCTACAAATGGTTACAATGAATCCTAGCAGATAAAGGTGAAAAAAGATCATTTCATTTGTCTGCATACATAGAACCGACCCTCAGCTGGAAGCCATATGCCAGAAGATAATACATATTTTATTTCGGGCTTAATTTATTTAAGATTGGCTCCTGAAAGCCTGCATTTTGTACACTGCATATTTAACCCATAAAGGGCTGCCACTGCTTGCCCTGTATCCAGCAGGGAGTGGACATTTTGACCATGAAGGGGTTGTAGGACCCTATCGTCTGGCATAGTAGAGGACCATTAGTGGATATGACTTAACGGCATATTGTGAAATATGCAGACAGGCAAGTGTTGACCATATCATTATTGTAGGGTGAGCCTCAATTTGTACGGCGTATACAAGGAACAACATATCACGACAGAAATTCACATTTTAAAATTCTAAACCTTGTTTCATAGCTTTTGTACATAATCAACAAGATTTAACAGACTTGTTTAAATACCTTTAACACTTCCTACCTATTTCAGACATGATACTCATACTAGTAACTACAAAAATATTAATTATGTGAAAGAATTAATTTCAACAGTGAAAACTATTCCATTGGTACATTTTACATTATTATTTAATATTACTTGCATAAGATTTCAACTACCATCAAGATTTCATTTAAAAAAAAAAGTAATTTGTAAACAGGTACATTTCGGATAAAAAAAATTGGTATGCATCAGTTTCTACAAAGAGAAAAAAGATCATGTAACAGCATATGAGGAACCCGCTTAGCTTACTCAGTAGATATAGGCACAGACTGCCGCAGCCCTTCCTCCTCCTCCTCCTCACACGCTACTGCTGTAGTCAGCCATACACACACTCAAATCTCTCACACATGGAAATCATCTAGAAGACAAATACAATGAAGTCTGCAAAATTATGAAATCACTTTTGGTGTATAGCATGCACATTTTTACTACCTATCTAATTCTCCAAACATTCATTTTCTGTCAGGTCTGTGTCACTAGTAAGGTAAGAAAACTTCTATACAATATTTAATATGAATACATAGCCATTAAACTTCTTTGCATTGTCATTCTTCACTGATAATATTAAATTGTACACAAAATACATCCAAAAATGAAATACATATTCTACCTTCGACAAGTGCTAGGTCTGTATTTCCAAGTTAAACTAAAGTCAATATAAAAATCCATCGTTATCAGACTTAAGTTGATATACCTTCAACTCATTCACCCCTGAAATTTCATAATGACCTATTCCAACCTTTGAATTGGAAGAGTTCAAATGCATCTTTAGGGGTGAATGAGTTAACCAGCATAACGTAACCCTTTCAACACTGTAGACCATAATGGACTCATCCAGATCAATGCATGGTAGAGTCTACTGAAGTTACATAGGGGTGAAAGGGTTAAGGTCTAAAATACAATGCATGGTTCTGGTACAGATTAACTTTTACATTTCTGTGAGAGGAAGTGCCAAGAGTTGAGAACTCAAAATTGCCTTTCAGGCATGGTTATCATGACATATTTGAGGTATGGGAAAGTTTATACAAATGTGCACAAGCTAAGCTTTAACTATTTTTATTCCAAAAATTGTTTTTTACTGGAATACATGTAGTGTTTACTTTCATGTTCTTCCTGATTTCAATTACTTCATTGACACTTCATGAATATATTATTTTGTAAGAGTTTTTTTCAACACTGTATACGGGGAAATATTCCCCTTGTTTCCCTTTATCTTTTTCTGCTTTCTATCACGAGGATAAATTCTTCAGAACTGTTAATATTTTTTTATAGATCTAACTACACAATTTATTTTCATGGTGAAGGGAGAAATTACCACTGGGAAAATATAGATCATACCGCCAGTAAGGCTAAGCATTTCACAGGGTGAACATTTTGAAGTATACAGTATTGTCTTTAACTCCATGTCAATATGAAATCCTTTTTTGCAGTTAATTTCAAGAAAAAAAAACAGTAAGGAAAACTATTAATGCCTTTAAATGAATATGGATGAGATTCCAGTTTTCTTTGATGCTTTAATGAAGAGTTAGCTCCCCTGGAATGCAACAAAGAATTTGTTTTACATTTCAAACGATCATTGAACAAATTGAACACAAATGTCCAACAACACTCTTGAAGTATGTCTAGATCATGTTCTTTGTGTTATAACCGATGAACTTTAAACATTTGAAAGTTCATGGACATATTACAGTTTGTCAAGTCTATAAACCTTATCATGTAGGCACACACCTACGTGTCAATTCCCCTCCACAAGACAAATCTGCATGTTTTAAAACCTCACAGACTAACAACTTGCACTATATAATTCTCATCGTATGAGAACATTATCCTACCTAAGAATCATACAACAGGAAGCACAGAGTTAAAAATCTGTGGGTTGTAGCTGGTTATGAAATTTTCAAAATGAAGCGCCATCTTTTCTTGATTTCTCGTATAGCTTAAAAAAAGTGGCCCCGATTAGTGACCGCATTTAACAGCTGAAACCTACCTTCTACAGGGACATACTTTTGAGAAACAAAACCACGGACTAATACATACTCTGCTGCAACTGTTTACAAACATTTCTATTATTTGTATGAAATATATGTAACAGTTGGCAAGGTGTGTGATGAAACAAAATAAATGATGAATTTATATGTACAGAGAGTATGCATCCAACTCATTTAGGACTTCCCATGAAATTTCCCCCTGTAATGAAAAACACATATACATAGAAAATGCCTGTGATACAAAAAACAACTGTGGTTTTACTTCTCAAAAAAACTTCTCCTTTTCTACAACTCCTTCCCTAGAAAATGTTTTCTTCTGTCCTTTCTAGACCAACTTCGGTCAACATTACAAAAAGTTACATTTTGACCAACAGCACTCATGTTTCTTCTTCCACTTATCGGCCCTCATCTCTAGTCCATTGTACAAATCGGGTGATAATTGAGGCAGGGTAGCACTAGTGAACCTCAGAGTTCTCCGGTTTGGCCATGTTATGAATGGAGGAGTCGGAGAGGGTACTGTGAGGGGTGGAGTGAGGCGTGGAGTGGGATACTGCTGGGTGCTGGTCCATCGTGGTGGAGTGTACCCCACCCAAGGCTGCCACGGCCGCCGCAGCCGCTGGATTAGGGAATGGATAGCCAGCACCGTTCATTCCTTCTGGGTAACCTGGGAAGGCGTATGGAGGGCGAACACTACCTGTAAGTAAAGGAGATAAAGACTTAAAGTTAACAACTATTCACAAAGGAGATACAGACTTAAAGTGAACACCTGTTTATTTTAAAGGAGATACAGACTTAAAGTTAACACCAGTGTATAAAGGAGATACAGACTTAAGTGAACACCTGTTTATAAAAAAGATACAGACTTAAAGTTAACACCTGTTTATAAAGGAGATACAGACTTAAAGTTAACACCTGTTTATAAAGGAGATACAAACTTAAAATAAACACCAGTTTATAAAGGAGATACAAACTTAAAATTAACACCAGTTTATAAAGGAGATAAAGACTTAAAGTTAACACCTGTTTATAAAGGAGATACAGACTTAAAGTTAACACCTGTTTATAAAGGAGATACAGACTTAAAGTTAACACCTGTTTATAAAGGAGATACAGACTTAAAGTTAACACCTGTTTATAAAGGAGATACAGACTTAAAGTTAACACCTGTTTATAAAGGAGATACAGACTTAAAGTTAACACCTGTTTATAAAGGAGATACAGACTTAAAGTTAACACCTGTTTATAAAGGAGATACAGACTTAAAGTTAACACCTGTTTATAAAGGAGATACAGACTTAAAGTTAACACCTGTTTATAAAGGAGATACAGACTTAAAGTTAACACCTGTTTATAAAGGAGATACAGACTTAAAGTTAACACCTGTTTATAAAGGAGATACAGACTTAAAGTTAACACCTGTTTATAAAGGAGATACAGACTTAAAGTTAACACCTGTTTATAAAGGAGATACAGACTTAAAGTTAACACCTGTTTATAAAGGAGATACAGACTTAAAGTTAACACCTGTTTATAAAGGAGATACAGACTTAAAGTTAACACCTGTTTATAAAGGAGATACAGACTTAAAGTTAACACCTGTTTATAAAGGAGATACAGACTTAAAGTTAACACCTGTTTATAAAGGAGATACAGACTTAAAGTTAACACCTGTTTATAAAGGAGATACAGACTTAAAGTTAACACCTGTTTATAAAGGAGATACAGACTTAAAGTTAACACCTGTTTATAAAGGAGATACAGACTTAAAGTTAACACCTGTTTATAAAGGAGATACAGACTTAAAGTTAACACCTGTTTATAAAGGAGATACAGACTTAAAGTTAACACCTGTTTATAAAGGAGATACAGACTTAAAGTTAACACCTGTTTATAAAGGAGATACAGACTTAAAGTTAACACCTGTTTATAAAGGAGATACAGACTTAAAGTTAACACCTGTTTATAAAGGAGATACAGACTTAAAGTTAACACCTGTTTATAAAGGAGATACAGACTTAAAGTTAACACCTGTTTATAAAGGAGATACAGACTTAAAGTTAACACCTGTTTATAAAGGAGATACAGACTTAAAGTTAACACCTGTTTATAAAGGAGATACAGACTTAAAGTTAACACCTGTTTATAAAGGAGATACAGACTTAAAGTTAACACCTGTTTATAAAGGAGATACAGACTTAAAGTTAACACCTGTTTATAAAGGAGATACAGACTTAAAGTTAACACCTGTTTATAAAGGAGATACAGACTTAAAGTTAACACCTGTTTATAAAGGAGATACAGACTTAAAGTTAACACCTGTTTATAAAGGAGATACAGACTTAAAGTTAACACCTGTTTATAAAGGAGATACAGACTTAAAGTTAACACCTGTTTATAAAGGAGATACAGACTTAAAGTTAACACCTGTTTATAAAGGAGATACAGACTTAAAGTTAACACCTGTTTATAAAGGAGATACAGACTTAAAGTTAACACCTGTTTATAAAGGAGATACAGACTTAAAGTTAACACCTGTTTATAAAGGAGATACAGACTTAAAGTTAACACCTGTTTATAAAGGAGATACAGACTTAAAGTTAACACCTGTTTATAAAGGAGATACAGACTTAAAGTTAACACCTGTTTATAAAGGAGATACAGACTTAAAGTTAACACCTGTTTATAAAGGAGATACAGACTTAAAGTTAACACCTGTTTATAAAGGAGATACAGACTTAAAGTTAACACCTGTTTATAAAGGAGATACAGACTTAAAGTTAACACCTGTTTATAAAGGAGATACAGACTTAAAGTTAACACCTGTTTATAAAGGAGATACAGACTTAAAGTTAACACCTGTTTATAAAGGAGATACAGACTTAAAGTTAACACCTGTTTATAAAGGAGATACAGACTTAAAGTTAACACCTGTTTATAAAGGAGATACAGACTTAAAGTTAACACCTGTTTATAAAGGAGATACAGACTTAAAGTTAACACCTGTTTATAAAGGAGATACAGACTTAAAGTTAACACCTGTTTATAAAGGAGATACAGACTTAAAGTTAACACCTGTTTATAAAGGAGATACAGACTTAAAGTTAACACCTGTTTATAAAGGAGATACAGACTTAAAGTTAACACCTGTTTATAAAGGAGATACAGACTTAAAATTAACACCAGTTTATAAAGGAGATACAGACTTAAGTGAACACCTGTTTATAAAGGAGATACAGACTTAAAGTTAACACCTGTTTATAAAGGAGATAAAGACTTAAAGTTAACACCTGTTTATAAAGGAGATACAGACTTAAAGTTAACACCAGTTTATAAAGGAGATAAAGACTTAAAGTTGACACCAGTTTATAAAGGAGATACAGACATAAAGGAGATACAGACTTAAAGTTAACACCTGTTTATAAAGGAGATACAGACTTAAAGTTAACACCTGTTTATAAAGGAGATAAAGACTTAAAGTTAACACCTGTTTTATAAAGGAGAGAAAGACTTAAAGTTAACACCAGTTTACAAAACACATATCAAGCAAGACTTAGTGGACTCTCTCAAGAATGAGATGGAACAGCTGAGGAACCACAGTTGTGAGAAAGTATGCTATTAATCTTAAGGCTAGATAAGAACAAATAACAACAACCAATCTAATATACAATGAGGGAGGTGGTTCAAAAGTGGAGTTAAGATAGAAGACACTCTATCATCAGAAACAACCGATCTTTGTTTAGAGCTGAAGTGGCTGTGACCCTAACGTCTGTTGGGATTGGTCTGAAGAAATTGACGACCATATATATAGAGAAGGGATAGTAGTCCTGTCAAATGATTACTGTTGGTTTGGCTCATTCTACAAAGACAAGCAACAGTCTTTCCTGATTGTAGCAGAACTTTACCTGTTGTGAAGTATTCCTTATTTACACAATTGCGTAGACCATCTGGAATTCGGCCAACAATTGCCCGTCTAATTTCTGTGGCAGCCATTTCTCGCAGTTCTGTAACACTTTGTTCACTGTAGAATGCCGAGTGTGGAGTACAAATCAGATTAGGACAATCTTTGAGAGGACCTGTCAAAGAGAACACAAGAAAGCAATGAAACATTTTATATTGTATTGTATCATCTTTAGAGTGGACACAAAATGGGGGTGGATATTTTGTTAAAAGACCTGCGTCTCTTAACAGTCACATCTCAAATCCCCAATGATTGCAGTTATTGGCCTCCTAGAAAAAGCCTTTTCATGCTCCCATGTTGAACTATCCAATTTAGACAGAAGAAAGACAACTTTGCATTAATACCATGTCTGGAATCTGTGAACATATTTGTTATTTTAAACCAATGTCAAAGCCGGAAATACAAAAGTAAACAATTTTTCTCTGCGGAAGCATGTAGATTAAATTGAGAGGCTAAAAGAGTGTAGAAAAGATATGTGTATCGAACAAGAACATGTACTTACTGGTGGATAGGCTGAAAGGTTCATTTTCGTGGACATCTAATGCTGCTGCTCGTATCCTTCCATCCTTTAATGCTGCTGCCAGTGCATGCTCATCGACGAGACCTCCTCTAGCAGTGTTGATAAGAAAAGCTCCTTTTGGAAAGGGAAAACATCATGTACCACCAATTATAAGTTAGCTTCAATCAATTTCTATTTTAGGCTTGAAGCATTTTGTGATTGTATTTCACAATGACAAATAATTTCAAAAGGCTAATGTTTTGCTCTAATTTGCTGTGGATAAATGCTATAACATTTACACTGACTTGTGTTTCTGAAAGTCTTACCTTATAAGAACTCTTGCAATTTAATGACCATTTCCTGATTGCCAATCCACCATTATAATCAGAAGGTGTTCTTCGCATTTTTATTTTTTTTAAATACATCAATGAATGAAATGAGAGTTACCATGAAAAGATATCAAAAGACAAGACAAAAGAATAAGGAATCCTGATCAAATCGGGTTTAAAATCAATGTTCAATCAATGAGGAAACCAGATCAAGTCAGGTCTAATCAATTATAACATATAGGCATTTTTAAGGGTTCAATAAGTTGGTTTAACTTTTATGTTTTATTGAGGTAGAAAATGTCCATCGTGTTGAATACATCAACTTACCTCGACAGCCAAAGTTCAAGCTTAAGATCAAAAAAGAAAACTTGCCTGGTGGCATCTGCTTGATGCCACCCAAGAGAAGAAACTTACCTGGCCGCATCTGTTTGATAGTGAAATCATTAATGAGGTGAGTGTTGTGTTCGTTAAGGTTGCAATGTAAGCTCACACAGTCGCTTTGAAACAGTAGGTCCTGTAAAGTGTACACTCGCGTTATACCTGAAACAATATAATACACATTATAACATATGCCAGCACACAATTTTTCTTTCTCGAAATACAGCGGTTTTGACTCCTAGGATACTTTTCATAAGTATGATATTCATGTCAAATTTTGAATTATTCATTAGGAAAGTAAATTCTACAAGAATAACTCTAATTATATGTCTGGCCTGTCACCTGTAAACAGGTTCATTAACAAATCATCAGGAGATATGGCACCTTTTCTTCACATAAAATTGATAAATCAAGTGGGATATATCGTAATGATAAGTGTTAATTTGTTATTCTCAGAATTCAACATACTTGGACAGTCAATTCTAGTGTCATAGTTAGCTCCCCTTATCAATGTTTCTAACACGCTAGCAAACCAGACAAACTTGTTGACCTACTACAATGAGTAAGATGATAAATCTGCATCCTTATTAATTATGTGTATTAACTCATCAATGTACTTACCTAATGATTTTTCTACTCCGTCATGAAGGTAAGGATCATAGAATATTACATTAAATCCAAAAACTTTAGCACGAAGAGCCACTGCTGTGCCTACTCGACCTGCCAACAGAAATTTCATTTCATTATCATCTTTTAGTACAGGGCAATGAAACTTGTAGGAGTGATCAAGATATTTTTCTTAGAACAAGTCAGAAGCAGTTGTAAACATTTATCAACAGAAAAAGATGACTATCAATATTAAAATATAATGTTTGAATTACTTAACATGAATAAATAACTGGTGTATTCTTTTTCATTCTATAAAATTATCTGGGTAATAAAACAATGAAAATTGCTTTAAAAGTTCCACAGCAGTAACATCAATCTAATTTTCATCTCAATTAAACATTCTAGTGCTACTGATTGGAGAAAAAAATTGTCAGTGACCTGCAAATCAAGGTCAGCAATGAGCAATTACATCTTTAGCATATCTTGACAACCAAAATGGTAAATAGTTTGTATTTTCTTCTGTTAATTGCAGTAGGATGAGGGGAAAGGGGATTTTCATTCATGCTGTCCTTACCTAAACCCACAATGCCGAGTGTATCCCCTCTGATTCTGGCGGAGCCCTGTGCCGCCTCTCTTAACTGTTCTGGTCCACTGATTTTCTTACCCTCCTTAACCTGGTTAGCCAACCAATATGTCCGCCGATACAAGTTCAAAATTAGACACACTGTAGAATCTGCAACCTCTTCTACACCATAACCAGGAACATTACAAACGGCTATACCTGTATCACAATAAAATACACAAATTAATGGATCTGTCTCAAGTCAATATAAAGCAATGTTTTTGATGCCTAGGTTAAACTGTATAACAGAAAATATTATGATTTTACAAGATTTGTATTGATATAAACAGAAAGAGATATTTCAAAGATGTTAATTATTTCTCAATATCAATATAACAAACTTGTTTGAACCAAAATTCCAGAAAGGTTAATACCAACACTGACAAGTTACGTGATGATACACATTCACATTATGATACATACTCTTTCTGAAGGATTCTAATCCAAGTATTTATGGAGTTTTGTCACCAACTTTAGTGATGGTGAAATCAGTGTCCACTGAAGATGTAATGGTCTATTTCAACTATATCACTATATTCAACAGAATTTTACCAATCATTTATGTAATTACTCTATTCAGCTTGCATAAAAAACCCAAGAAATATATTCCATGAGAATTTGATAAAAAAAAAAAAAAAAATCTTCATTTATGACAAGTAAAGCTATGCATATGATGTTAATATAAAAAGAAAATGACATCTGTCCTCTTGTACCAGTTTACCACTGAAGGATCAGGATCTAAATAAATGTCAACCCAGCTGATATACATATAGAACAAGTTTGTCTGAAAAGGGAATCTGAGTTTTATAGCAACATCAATATAGAGAGAAGACAACCCCAAACTAGGCAACAAGTGTGACAAAAACTTATTTACCAAAGTCTCCAGCGGCCTTGACATCGAGATTGTCGTATCCACTGCCTATTCTCACAATGACCCGTAAACTTTTGAATTTTTCCAGGTCCTCTTTTGACAATGTGATCGTATGCCACATAAGGGCCCCTACTGCCTCATTCAAGACCTGGCAAACACAAAACAAAGTATGTAATCTATATTCAATAACATTTACACCATATTATTCCTGCCACAAGCAGCATGGTGAAGTTGCCTGTGTTGTAGTAAGCGTTAAGGTATCAAATTCCTTTTAACAGCAACCTAAATGGAAAGACTACTCTGTAAAGTTTATACTGAGGTTTAGAGACAACTTTAAATAATGGCACATCAGAACATATTGTAAACAAATTCAACCTTGTGCATAAAAAGCCTGAGAAGACTAGGTCATAAGATACCTATATAACTGACATAACTGATATCAATATAATTCTTACAATGTTTAACCGTTTGTAGATCGTATCTGCTGACGAATCAGCAATAGCTAGGATCATATTTGATATACAGGGCGCAAAATGGTAAATAGTTATATCCCTTTACTCTGTTAGTCAAACAATGAAGCAAAAGAAACTGCTGTGTGCTATTTTTATTAACCCCGATTCCTTTTAAAGTACAAGAGGCCCAGAGGGCCTGTATCGCTCACCTGGATATCAAAGCAATCATGGCAAAATATTCTCCGAATGAGATCAAGGGAATATGCCAGACCCCAAAGCCAATCCTTGTAGCATATCTGTATTAGATTTTTAATGCCCAGCAATTTTATGCATGGTTATGGGGTGGGGATCTCAACTGTTTCCAAGCTTTGACTCAGAAACTAGGTCCCTAGGATTGTGGCCAGACCCCAGGATCAATTCTAATATTGTGACTGTATTTGTCTCTTTTTGACCAGCATTTGTATATATAGTTTTGGGGTGGGGATCTCAACCGTTTCAAAGTTATGACCCAGGGGTTAAGTCTGCAAGGGTGGGGCAGACCCTGGGGTCAATTCTAATATCATGACTGCATGCATCTTTTTATGCCAAACATTTGTATATATATAGTTTTGGGGATCTCAACAGTTTTATAGTTATGGCCCAGGGACTATGTCTCCCAGGGTGGGGCCAGACCCTATAGCCATCCTGGAAGCAAATGTGCATTCTTCTCTTTATACTAAGCAATTGTATACCATGGTTATATGGTGGGGATCTCAACCATTTCCAAGTAATACACATTTTTTGGCCCCACCCCTTAGCCCAGGGGGTCAGCCCCACCATTTGTACAATTTTGAATCCCTGCCTCCCATGAATGCTTCTGACCAAATATGATCAATATCCATGGCATGGTTCTACAGAAGAAGTCGTTTATAGCAATATAGCCAAATTGCCCCCTTTTTGGCCCTGCCCTCAGCCCCCTGGGGGCTGAGCCCCACCATTTGTACATTTTTGAATCCCCACCACCTAGGAATGCTTCCAGTCAAATGTGGTTGATATCCATCTCTTAGTTCCAGAGAAGAAGTCGCTTAAAGCAATATTGCAATATTGACCCCTTTTTGCCCCACCTCTCAGCCCCCTGGGGGGTCAGCTCCATCAATTGTACAATTTTGAATCCCTGACACCTAGGGATGCTTCAAGTCAAATATGGTTGATATCAACTTCTTAGTTCCAGAGAAGTAGTCGCTTAAAGCAATATAGCCAAATTGACTCCTTTTGGCCCCGACCCTCAGCCCCCTGGGGGGTCAGCCCAACCATTTGTACAATTTTGAATCCCCACCACCTAGGGATGCTTCCAGTCAAATATGGTTGATATCCATAGCATAGTTCTACAGAAGAAGTCGTTTGTAGCAATATAGCTAAATTGCCCCCTTTTGGCCCGCCCCTCAGCCCCCTGGGGGGTCAGCCCAACCATTTGTACAATTTTGAATCTCCACCACCTAGGGATGCTTCCAGTCAAATATGGTTGATATCCATCACTCAGTTCCAGAGAAGAAGTCGTTTGTAGCAATATAGCCAAATTGACTCCTTTTGGCCCCGACCCTCAGCCCCCTGGGGGGTCAGCCCAACCATTTGTACAATTTTGAATCCCCACCACCTAGGGATGCTTCCAGTCAAATATGGTTGATATCCATAGCATAGTTCTACAGAAGAAGTCGTTTGTAGCAATATAGCTAAATTGCCCCCTTTTGGTCCGCCCCTCAGCCCCCTGGGGGGTCAGCCCAACCATTTGTACAATTTTGAATCTCCACCACCTAGGGATGCTTCCAGTCAAATATGGTTGATATCCATCACTCAGTTCCAGAGAAGAAGTCGCTGAAAGCAATATTGCCAAATTGATCCCTTTTTGCCCCGTCCCTCAGCCCCCTGGGGGGTCAACCCAACCATTTGTACAATTTTGAATCCCCATCACCTAGGGATGATTCCAGTCAAATTTAGTTGAATTCCAATCAGTGATTAAGAAGAAGTCGTTTAAAGAAATTGTTGACGTACGGACGACGGACGCAACGGTATGGCATAAGCTAATAAATGGTGAAAAAACTCTTTCCGAACCTCGTCATATTTTATCATTTAATGAGGGGAGAACTTGTACTCATGGGAATACAGTATGCCAATTATATTTTGTCCATTGTACATGTTGGCTAGACAAGATTTGTCTTGTGGAAATAAAATGTGTAGGAATGAGCAGGGTGATAATCCTAGGGCATGTAGGGACTGACTAAATATACACCAATAGGAGCTGTAATGACTGACCTTTATTGACAGGTATTCACTTTACACATTTTATAGCCAGTTAGATGTCATTTTAATTTGATCTTTTTCTGGTTTTGGGTATAAGTCAGCTTTGAAGTATCATAAAGCTCTTAAAAAGGGGATGTGATTTGACTGTTTATGCAATATTTGGAAAAACGTACTTTTTCATGTATTTCTTGTGTAGACTGAGCATCACAGAATGCTACTGTGGCCACATCTTTAAGTATTGGCATCTCCACAGAACAGTCCCGACCGTCAAGGAGAGCTATGAGCGGCCGGGGTTGCATCGGGCCATTAGGTATGGGCCCTCGAATAGACACTGTATAACAGAGGTAAATCAGTTGCAATATCATACGATGAAGATTGTTTTTACTGTTAAAATATAATAAAACATTCTTATTTTTCAATTACTTTCATTTGCAGATATGATTCAATATGGCAAAGAACAATACATGGAGTCGAATGAAACCTAAAATGGTGCAGCATTTCACTGAATCTACACAGCAACATTTCTATACAATGTATTTCTAAATTACACTAAACTAAATTATTGATGGGCTACCCCTACCTAATCCTAAAAATCCTTTAAGATACCTCTTATAAATTTTTACGAATAATAATCTTCTGTATAGTATTAATGGGAATCCCCCAAAACTTGTTTATATCAACAACACAAATCTAAATGTATATATATGTAAACAGAGAAGTGACTTGTAGCCATGAGAGGCCATACAGGGATTTGCAGTCATGATAACCAGACACCTAAAAGGCAGACTGGCTAGGAGTGAAAATCCTGCTTTAACATCTGCATACCTTTTAATTTTTATTTCTATGACATTTCGAGGTGTCATGATTCACTGCGATGCACTTGTACCGCGATTATTTATGTTCGATTTTATTCACGATATATTTTTCAGGATTTTCGATACTTCACGATCTTAATATTAGTGTATGCCACTTCAGCCGAAAAATCTGTGAGACGTTCAATTTCAATGGCTGATCTCTAAATCCTCAGCCAATCGGCTGCCAGGATGCAATTTTCACAAAGCATTCATAACAAAATGGAGGTCCGCGGTATGGAAATGCAAGCTTCAAATCAAAAGTGTGGAAACACTTCGGGTTTCAGTGTATCAACGGCTTATATATCTCAAATTTTTTTAATTTTAAAATAAAGGTGTATCAAATCGTGACAACTCAAATTACATTTGTAAGTATTATCACTCCTTAAGTTTAATAAACAACCAACATAATCATATAACATAAAATATCTTCATTATCAAATGTATGGATGCATGATCTTTTTCCAGCTTTTTGATAATAGGATCTTAGTAACTTGTACCTTGGTACATGCTTGTCGGTGCTTCTAGCCGAGGCCTTTTGATTGGTTGAAGGAGTTTCTTTTGGTCCATGTGATGACGTTGGGAGGCGTAAAACGCAGCAGGAGGCGACACTCCACGTCTGATCAATAAATTAAAACTTCAACAGCAACAACTCCACCTTACCTATCTGAAAACAAAATAAGTGTTCAAAATGCCTGAGATAAACCCAATTAAAGCAGAGATTTACCCAACAAGTTAATTAATATAAAATATTACATAATAAATATCACGACAGATGAGTGGTAACACAATGGATAAGCTCCCTTTCTCAATAAAGAGGTTCCGAGACTGAATCCAACAGTAGATGTGTCTTTTTAAAGAAAAGGGATTTATAATAAATATATTTCTTTAGATGTTATCATTGGAGTCATAATAATGGAACTTTTCTTCATTGAAGAATGGTGATACAACATGTAGCATTGGGACTCTCCTTTTAGTTAGTGTACTGCTGATGGAGTGACAATAAATCGAGACAACGGACACCAGCAGACCTGATAACCCTATATGCATCCCCGTTCCCTAAAAATGGCCGAGGAAGAAAAGGGAACACTTATCTCATCAAGTTGTGGAGAGAAAATCCATCATGTCATGAACCAAAGGCTTCAATTTGTAGCATTCCAAAGATTTGTCACATATTCAGATGAAACACAAATACTTTAATACACATATGTCAGATTCATACCTTTTCCCTCTATTATTGTCAAGCTGTTTGGTCAACAATGGTTGGTTATTTGTCCAATCTTGCATGAATTGCATCCACGTTTGGTTCCGCAAGGTAGTCAGCTTCATGAAATCATCTTCATGTTGTCTGCCTTAGCAGCGCTTCATACTTCAAAAAGGGCAGTCTGAAATTAAATTCAAGATGAAAATCTATGTATTGATACATTTTTCTTAAGAGCAAATTTTGGTGACTTCACTAAATTAAACAGAATTAAGGCTGTCACTGTCAGATTAACACGGTGTTACCTATGTGAGAAAAACAATGACAGACTGAAGTATTGCTGCTTTTCTTAGCGTTTTGTAGGGTCTTCAATCCATTGTCAATCAGGAGTTAATGATCAACTGTTACTGGCCAAGTGATCATGTAGTGAGAATGAGACCACAGGGAGTTGTTGATTAAACACACCTCAGGATCACTTGTCACCTGTACTGGCATTACGGTTCTGCCCGACCCCAATAAACATATACCTATAGCATATCTATCTATCTATCTAGTACAGTTACTAGGGCAGTGATGGATAGTCATGCCCAGCTGTATGTTTGGGGGCATCTTCCTGGTTCCATTTAAAATCATATACATTTACAATCAATACCTAGATTATTTGCTCAGCAAAAAGACAAGTTTTAAAATTCAGACAAGGCACAGCACCCGGCTATTCCTTGTATTGCTGGCTAGAACACTATACCTTGTTTATATAGTAAACTGATCAGTTATCTAGGAGAGAATACTTTTTTAATGAAAATCCAGATTGTGATTTATATCAAAATGTCAAAATGAAAGGAAGGTTCTCAATATGTAACACGGTTATTTTAACAAAAGAAAGCAAATTTATACAAAGAGTAATGAAGTACTCAATATCTAAAATAAGTTAGCTGCAAGAATTATTGAAATGGGTTGTTATTGTATTAATGTTATCAGGTGTCATATGATGTGTGTACTATGTCCATCAATGTATACTATGTAATATGTAACCTCTTAACCACATATACGTGTGGCGTGATCAGTGTAAAAATAAAACTTGAAAACTTGACTTGTGACATACACAGTAATAATCATATGGTAACAAACACTGACTGACCTGTCATTCATAACTGGCAACATATTTGACAAATGAATGCATTTAACACGTTTTCACATTGGATATCAAAGGAAATAGAAATATTCTTATTTTCTATGCGACATGAAAAAGCACTTGATGAATATACAGGAAGAACTAGTATTCATCAAAAAAGTAAGAATATTCTTTTAACCCCAATGCAACTTTAGTAAACTCTACCATGCATTGATCTGGGTGAGTCCATTGTGGTCTACAGCGGTGAAAGGAATAAATATTGAAACATGTCAGATGCAGATTTGGGGATACAGTATTCCGTCTTTGCGTATTGCAGAGATAACTTCTCTTGTGAGCAGGTATTGATTGTTACATCATTGGTTTGTGTGAGAAAATTACGTCATTTTCTCAAAAATTGATGACGTTACTCTCACAAACAAATGACGTAACAATCAATACCCGTTCACAAGAGCAGATAACTCTGCAATACGCAAAGACGGAATAGCAAAATTCAAGCTTTTAAATTCAGAAACAGAAACCACATCTATACAACTTAAGATTGCATAATTCCATTAGATTATTTTATTATAGATTGTAACACATTAAATGTATTAAGGTTAAGGCTAAGTATCACTAACATACAAGTCCAATAATATGCACTTTTCTAGAAGGCCAACAATGGAAGTCTTCACATATTTAAAAAATCATAAAAGTTAGCCGAATATAATCTCCTCAAAATATCTTATAAATATTACAAATAATTCTACATTACTCTCTACAACAGGCGATGAAGTATTTCAAGCATGTACCTGACCTTGTGACTTCTGTTATGTACCTAGGCAACAATTAATCCATCAGGCATATGATAGAAAATGAGGGATAAAAATACATACACTTAAAATGTATATATGTGCCTGTATATGTACGCAGCACAAAGCACCCAGCATCGCAATGCTTTATCTTGTTGTTGTAAGAGCTGTTATGTTTATGATGATGACAAGTGTTTTGTAACATCTTGCAAACATCATATATTGTACATAGGCTCATACCTCCTCCAAAGTTTGAACTTTCAACACTTGTGACATGTCTACATATTTTTTCGTTGAATTGTCAGTACAATACACTACAACTCACATTTTTTCTTTATTGTGACAAACAAAACAAAATTTTGAATTCCATGATATTTTCAAATATACAAAATATTATGTATACATGTAAAGCAAAATAGATATGTTTAAATTTTAAAATTATAAGTTTGCATATTGCTTTGCATACCTTTGACCTAAAGGTGAAGATCATGGTGACCTATATGAATAGATTAAATACAGTGAAGTTCACAATCCCTTTGGATGACTTAGGTATACTTTAAATGCCATCAATAAACATGTATCTTCAGGTTTTACTGAACACAATTATAATTAAATATTTTAACCTCTGATGACCACGTCGTAAGGGTCACCGTGACCCGATTGCTCGTACTGCACACATATACTGTGGGTGAGCAAGGCAAGTTATACTACGTTTCACTTTAAATTTTATTTTTTCAACAAGGTTCCAACTTCCTCAATTGCAGTTAATTGTTTATCATTCAAATTGGGGAAAACATCAGATGGAATTTATTCTCCATGGGAAAAAGCCTTTACTTAACTCATTCACCCCTGAAGTTTCAAAATGAACTATTCCAACATTTGAATTGGAAGAGTTCAAATGTGTTTCGGGGGGAATTAGTTAATAAATCATTGAATAGACATTTACTATTATAACCATGAATTTGCTTTACATTTCCTTATAACAATTTACATATATCAACAGTGATTTTGAATCACTTGTTTGTTGTGTTTAGCTTAGTAGCCACCTGAGGCTATTTTATCCTCTCCTGTACGGAAGAAACAATGAAAATATGCAAGCAAGATTGAAAAGAAAAACAACCTGTTGCATCGTCTTGTACTTATAAATTTATATAAGTATATATGCTCTAGCTAGAAAAAGGTGAAATCAATGACTGGCTTTTTTTTTTATATTATGCTGCATCTGTACAATTGTTTATACAAATTAAGCTCATAGCAGCAGATCTTTCACCTTCATCTTTATTAATTATTGTATCAACTGAAAATTGTTTCCCTTTTACAAATGTACATATGCACAAGTCATAAGTTCTAAATATAGTACTTGTAACCCAGAACACACTAGCAAATTCATATCAATAACTCTCATATTCTATCACTTCTGATAAATTTGGAATTTCATGCTAATCTTGGTCGATTTCCCCCCATAAGTTCTGTATCTGGGCCTCTCAGCGAGATTGATCAATACAGTAATAGTCAACAGAATTGGGATGCTGCATGTGCAACATAGCAGCTTTTGGCAAATCAATCATCACTCCCTATTCCACAGTGGGGAATAGGCACACAAATGTACAATCTTTAAACTTAATTATTTATAAAATTGTGCTAATTCATACAATAACAGCAGAAACATAACCGATATATGGTTTGCATGACCGGCATTCTGATTCAACATTTTCAATGTTTGGTTTACATATATATAATGCATTAATATAAACGTATACAGTTTCTGTTTTGTGATTAAAATGACATATAAATAATTGATGACATCATGATCAGTAACAACTGCCATATTAATTTAATTTATTCACATCAGAAGGAAAAACAAAACTACATTCAGGAATTAAAAAAAAATAAAAAAATCCCAATGTTTTCAAAATTGAAAATAGACCCTATTTGCATGGTTTACTTGCTATTTTATGTAATGGGTATTTTTTTTGTTTCCTAAATTTCACCCTTCACTCTTTTGTACCTTTTTCGATCCAAAAAGTAAATACCAGGTTAGAACTGTCAAGTCTTAATTTTTCAGTAAAATTATTTTGCAAATAAAATGTTTTGATTTGCAATTTGCTATGACTATCCCTATTTTTTCTAGAATGCAAAGACAATTATTTGGTTGGTCTCACAAACAGATTCATAGAAGTAAAGTATGTGATAGAAAAGACCTAATTGTTTTAAATTAAATATCCAGTAGATCAAAATGGAATTCTACAGGCTTAAACCTAATACACGTACACAGTTCACTTTATGTCATTGTGGAACACATGGCACCCTGCTTTGTCCAGCTAGCTATAACAAAGATTGATACAAATCACACGCTACAGCTTCAAGCCAGGGACAGGTGTTAATCTGCAGCTGTGTTTATTTAATTCTGACCACAAAAAAATTATTATTGCTATTTGTTTGGTTTTCAACTTCATGCAATTAGCCTTAATAAAGTGTAATTGTAAGTTAATCAATCAATATTTAATATTCAGGCTCTCAAATCATTAACACTTTGTTAATTGTCTCTGGTAGGACCGAATTATTTTAGTTTAAGGAATATATTAATTACATCATTTAAAGAAATTTATTCACTCAACTTATGGACCCAGTCGACTGCAGCATGCAAAACATTAATTTCTTTTGTTAAGACATATAGCTAAAATCATCTCTTCAGGTCTAATGCCGATAAGTATTGTTTTTCTATAAATGTATATATATATATGCACACTTCTGCACATTTTGGATAATCAAATTAAATTAACGAGTAAGCTTTAATCCGAATTTCTTTAAATTCATCATGAATTTGATTATAAACTGCAGATATTATGTAATTGAATTAAATATCAGCTATAAATACAGGTATCCCACAGGCAAGAAATTGATAAGCAAAAACAATCACCTGTCAAAGTATAAAACACTATACTATTGTATTATACACAAGGTAGTCTGATTTCAATGCAGGTATGTAGGTCAACTATCTACAACACAAATGTTGTCATGAATGATGCATAAAGAATTTTTTTATGATTTTACATTATACAATAATCAGTGTTGTATTAAAGGTATTACTGGAGCATAATTAATATAACCCATACTGTATATTGCATATGACAATTTTAATGCAATCACAATCATTATTTAGCATTTCATATAAATCTATAACATAATACATGTGTAACATCCTCCAAGGTAAATACTTACATTACATCAATTTCTTAACTAAATAAATAAATGATTCGAACAGATCCACATGTTTTGTTGTTGTTGCCGTCAATATTAAATTATTTGATTTCAAACACTAAATTATACCTTCAACTGTTGTCAGTGTATCTGTTACAACAGTGAACAACGATGATAAAACTAAGCTGTAACATGCAAAGTCATACATGTATGAATCTACAATTCAATGACAAGAACGTGTCCCTTTCACTTCCTGTTTAACTATGTATATAGATCTATACAATGCAACAATTGAAATTACTACATACACATGTATACTTCTTACTAAATCACAAACACATTGTGGATGAACAAGAAATATTCATATTGGGGAAAACCAACATTCATTTCAAAAATATGCTAAATGTATGTCTTGTATATATAAAGACTTTGCAAATTCCTCTGAATAGGATTGGCATTCTGTCATAAATCTATTTTGAAATTAATTTTAAGTGAAGACGACAGATCAGGATGTGTGTCTATTTTTTTATATAGATAAAGGAGGATATATATGAAAATTCAAATGAAAAATATAACCTGGTTCCTTATTGCAAATTTAAGCATGAAATAGAATGTAAATATTAGATAAATACACATTTTATATAAAAAAAAGGTGACAGTACCCAAATATCGTTCATCAAACAATGATTCATTCATTGAAAAGAATTCAAAATATTTGAATTGTTTTCATTTATATCAATATCAAATAAAGAACAGTGATTGGTGTTCTTACAAATGAAGTTAACACCAAGGACTCAAAGAATTTTACAATATCTCATGCCTCAATGAACAATCTTTACCAAATTTTCATCACTCTAAATAAATATTCTTTTTTTGGAGAAATGAATTTGGTCATATATAATCATCTTGGTGCAACGTTTATTGCCCTGCAAACAAAACTGACAAATAAATAGTAGGATTAATTTCAAACACTAAAAATAAACCTGAAGATGCTTTTATTAACAGCAATAAAATTTGTCACCAAAACTACATATAGATCGTTTTGCTTCTACATACGACATATAAATTCCAGTCTATGTTAACAATTTATGAATACACACACATTATTGTACCTACAACCGAAATCTTGTTTACAGTAATACTAACAGCACTATTTTCACAACGTCAATACAAAAATCGATAAAGAAACACGTTAATCAGACATTATTACAAACCGTGGGTTAAATCTTGATTTAAGTACGTTAAACTTCGAGTTAACAACAAAGCAATCACGATTCTCGCTGGCCTCCGTGTGTCTGTTAGTCAGACAGGCGAGTGCCGTAATGGACACCCTTTAGCTTTGCTGGGGGTCATTTGCATAAACTGCACCGACACAAATAGACTCGAGCTGTCCTGTGCATATCCCGTAAAGCGTATCTAACTTCCATTACTTTGCTATTTGCGCCATTTTCACAACGTGTACAAAATAGCCAAATCACTAAATTGAAGAAGCAGACTTAATGACATGTTCGGTCGATAAAAGAAAGGCAGTTTTTTTATGAAAACGTGCAGGACTCTACGATATATTTGCAGATTTTCAATCCTGCCCATGCTGTTTGATATTGCACTACAATGACCTACATTTGCCTACCGTAATAGTACACGCGGCTCTTGAATAACAACTCCTTCATTTTGAAAAATTAATTAATGTTCTAATGAACTCGACTGTAAGGTTGGCAATAATGTAATTAACCATACAGATTGAAAATACGGAGTTTCAAAATCTCACCTTTCACAATCAAAAGACAAAGACTGCTGATCGTTCCGGTACGGTTTTCGGTGGCAAAGTTTCAAAGTAAATACTTGATGTTACCCCCGATTTACGCTAGTTCCCATACAAAAAGATATTCAAGCATTTCTTGACATCAACAAATTAAGTTTACTTACCGATTAATTGCTAAATGTGATAACTTTCCAAAGCCGTGACGGTCCGTTACTTCTGTAATGCAGGCTAGCCCGCAGACTGATCAAACTCTCGCGAAATCTCGTTTGAGTGTGATACACATATTTCATTCATTAATTTCTAAATAATCCAATTAAATGCTATTTCGGTGGTGAAAATTCTAATTTAAATTAAGAAAAACCATTACAACTCTAATATACATGTTTTTGAACGAGGATACACAATATACAATTGTCCAAGTTTCGGCGATTGTGTATGTTTTTGCATTGTATGGTCACTCAACCATGAATTTCCAAGCCAAAAGGCAAATAGGGCCTGAACGATCACGGAAGTAGCCATTTCCCCGCCAAACCCAATCTGTTTGATGGGGGGTGGATCGATTGGGGGAAGCTAATCGCACAAAACTCAATATCATGGTTAAGGTTTTGTTATTTTCAAACAATAATGCAAAAAGAAATTGTTGGAATTAAGGTATGTTTAGACATTTTCATATATTGAAAAGAGTATTTTTTTTACCACACGAAAATTTTAAAACGATAATTATAACTCAGACCCAAAAATGAACAAAGCTCAAACTAATTACAGTTTCAGCAAGTTTTCATCACTACGCACGCTACAAAGTATAAATCTCGATTATGCACATGGACAAGAAGGCCAGCCTGAAAAATAACAGGCGTTTTGAATGGCAAACCATTTCAGTAACGAAAGTTTCCAGAGAAAGATAATCCCATGTTTTTTTCTTACTTATATACGGCTAATGCATTGTGTTATTTTAAATCTGATCACGTCAATCGGCTTCGCGTCATCCGAATCTACCCACCCCACTTCATTTCATTTTGTCCTAGTGTGACAACACACACGTAGAAAGCTTAGTGAGAAAATAATACACATCTGTCTGCAGTAATCTTGATCTCCTTAAATACAGTCTTAAGGGCAGGAATGAGAAAAAGCATGGTATCTTCGATGTGGCAACTGAGCTGTGATACATAAAATTACATGCCATTCCCTAATTGTTGTACCGTAGGGACCTGAGAACAAATTACGAGATGTCAGTAAATTTTGACATATTCTTATTTGCATTGAGAATGATTCCATAGTTGGAAAGTATACAATTCTTATTCTAATCTTATTGAAGACATACAATTCTAATATTGTTTCAGGGCTTCACATCAAGTTACCTATCTCTGTAATATGTACGTCTCTGATCAGGATAAGTCCAGGTCCATACATATTAATGTATTAATTTGTTTTCGGATTCCTGTGTTCAGGACAAGTTTAATAACAAAAAAATGTTTAGGTCCAATTTAAAAAAATCAGTAATTCATAACTCGTTTTTGTTTGACATGCTTCGCTGAAGTTTCGCATGTTTTGATGGCATAATTCATAGTGCTGTGAATGCCAACTGAAACTAGCTTATGCTCCGTTCTCCCCTTATAAAACCCTTCAACCAACCAACCAACCACCCGATCATGAATATCACGATTAAGGTTTACAATCCATTTGCGATGTCACAAATGATATGTCACAATGAAATGTTCACAGGATGAAAGAAACTAATTGCATTAATTGTAAACAGCACGTAACAGTTATTACCAGAGTCGTTATACCGTACTCCAATTACTAAAATCAATATGGCATTATTCTAGTATTTTATATTTTTTGTTAAAAACAATTTCCTTTAATAACCCAATGTATAATTTTTAATAAAAATAATAGTTTTTGAGAAAACACAATAATGCACACTGACAAACAACTCTATATAACGTACAGAGGTGTTTTTTTTTTAATAAATTAATTATAGGCCTATTGATCTACCAAGCTGTGACAGACCCGGACCAACGAATAGGGATAGATTTTTCACTGCGCACACTCGGACGGAACAGCAGAGGTTTTCTGCTAAAGAATGGCTGACGTGAAGGCACTCGAACATCCTACACTGAAGGTAACTCACGATCAGGGGGTGTTATTTCATATTTCATTTGTATCGTATGTAACACAACAGTGTCTGAAAATAATGTTGTTTTATATTGGATGACTATCTCAAATGAAAACATATCGGACGGAAGATATATTGGAGTAAGATGTTGGCTTGACAAAATGAAGTCGCCTGGACCAGTGACAGACTCTGACCACAGAATTTTGTTACCTATGTGTTAGAACACACACGCTTATTGAAAATGGGTCATTACACAAATAAACATACTTGTGTTGAAATGTGCTAGGATAGGACCCATTACTTTGAAACATAAATATGCGTGTTCATATGTGCAGTGACCCGTTGGATGATTAATGAGTAAACCGAATGTTGTACAATAGGGAAACTCTGTTTTCAGACAGTTGAGTTGAATTTCAAGTTTCGTTAACCTGGTTAGTGAAGAAAAATAAGGTGGCTTGTACGTTTACTTGGGTATGGTCAGTATAAAGTAGCCAACCTATTAAATATTTTTGTATTAGGGGTAGTTATAGCAGTATAGTAAGTCCTATGTTATAAAGTGGGGGAAGAGCCAATGCTGTTCCAATATTAGATAGGATCCTTTTGTTGGGTGTTGGCTGGACTATGCTAGATACATATTCTGGATCTGTTTCATCCCAACAGAGCCCCATTTCCATCGGTTTTTGTTGATTCACTTTCATAAATATAAATTATTACCAGCTCAGCTTGCGAAAATTGGCCTTGGGATCATAATGGTATGTGAATAAACTAGTCAACCCTTAACATTTCAAAGGAAATAATTCTGATTATTTAATGAAACTGTTACTTGTATTGTGGTGGTTTCCGGGATTGTTTAATAGGGTTGGAATTCAAATTAATGCTTTTGATATTATGACTGTTTACATATTTTCCAGGTCCCTTACGAGCTGTTGAATAAGAAGTTTAGATCAGCCCAGAAGTGTATTGACCGTGAAGTTGCTCACATTCACTCTGCAGGGAATGACCTGGAGGCGTGTCTACAACAGAAGAGCCCCACTATCGGAGATGTTACGTGGGCCATTGACAGCATGGTAGAAAAGCTGTGTCTTTTGAAAAGAAAAGTAATTTCTTTTACATCCATTTTATTCATATATCCTATCACACATATGTCATGGATATATACAGGCCTTTATCATTAACAAATAAGGTTCAATTAATTAAATATTTCCCGTTCTAATTTCAGCATTATTTTCCCTTATTTCAGTTCAAAATCCCCCCTCTTGTAACTGAAATACTACCACATTCACATTAATATCTGTCTTGGTTCTATTTTGTTTTTATTTTCCATACGTTTGACAGGGCTGAGTGAATTATTTCTTGTTGTCTGTGTTCCTGTTGCCCCCCCCCCCCCTCTTCTTACTCACCCCCACCTTCTTACTCACCCGCTGGCCCCAGCCTGTGACCACCCTTTCCGCTGGCAAGTCATGCGCCTACAACACATATTTCCACAATTTCAAAAAAAAGGTACTAACCTTCTACACCTGCGTTAATCCCTGTATGTACTGGGATTGTAGAAGATATCCTTTTATAACATAGTACCAACCTTAGCCTTTGGTGGTTTTATCTGCACAAGGGAACATTTGAGAAACTCAGAATGAGTTATTTCCTTGATGGGAAGTATGTCACTCTGGTAAAATACTTTTCTTCCACAACCAGTATAGGCTTTCTCACTGCCAACTCATTGGATAAACCTGCTAGGAGTTGGTAAACATTTTTGGTTACCAACTTATAGGCAGTTGCATATTTGGTACCCACTGGTGAGTGGATAACACCCTGGATATTATTTCATTGATTAATCTTTTAATTATTACATCAAGTATCAATGCTTTGCCTCATTATCTTTAATTGTCAGGGTTCACATGGGCCTTGAAAAAGTCTTGAATTTAGAGTGTGGCCTGGAAAAGCCTTGAATTTCAAGGTTGACATTGAAAAGCCTTGATTGCTGGTCTATGGCCTTAAAAAGTCCTTGAATTTTGCATGATTTCCAAAAGTCATATCTTTCTTACAGTATAAAAAAAAATGACTAAAACAACTGCCAGTGACTTTTTATTGTAGCAATGTAACGTGCGGGCGGTCACCCATCCAACTACTGACCACGCTCGACGTTGCTGAACTGGTGAACGGGTCCCCGAGTTATACCGTATCACTGGAAAATCTAGCTTGCCAGTGAGGCAGTATTTCCCCCTCATATACCTTAGATGTTACAGTAACCATAAGAAAAAAAATGAGAGTTCTGAGTGAGATTTTCCAAAAGATATGCATGTTATTTTAACATGTTACATGGTAGTGGTAGGGGGTCATCTGACGAGCTCCTAAGATGAGGAAATGCCTGATTCTTGTACAATGTACCTGTGATGTATTATTTAAATCTTAGATGAAACAATTTAAAGGTGACCATACCAATGTCAACTGAATGTTGTCATAAGATCATTGATATTAAGAAAATGTGTGAGTCGCTGCTAAAATCATGCATGAAAGTTCTAAGATCATACATGTACACTACAATAGTGTAGATAAACATCAACTTTGGTGTCTGCTGTTAAAGATCTTCTCAGCATTGCTTCAATACAACCATCTTGCAGCTTTAATTGAAAATGTTTTCCAGGGGGAGACCCCCCATTACCCCCATGTTAGAAGAGAGTTACTATTAAAACTCTTTTTGTGTTCTCTCTTCTTTTGTTCTCTTCATGTGTCCTCTTCTTGGACTCCAAGACTAGCTTTCGCCTACTTGAATATTTCAGTTAGTTCCTTGAAAAAGGTTTGACATGATCTGTAGATACAAACCCTGATTGTGACGTTGTAGTTCATTGCAATGGTGTCCCGGGTTGGAAACAGGAATAATGTGTCCCCAAGAGAAACATATGGTTTTCTAGATCTATGATATCTGAACATAGTGGGAGAAAAGATCCCCTAAACTTGTGATGGTTGATCATCATGATTATCTAACTGTCATTAGTTAATTTTCAAATTAGACTCTTTATACAGTTTGAAAATTAATTAACAAACTTGAGTTGGATAAACATGAAAATCAACCATCACTTGTTGGGTAACCTCTGTGTCACTTTTATTGACTAGTAGGCAATGGAAAATTTCTGTTATTAGCTCAATCAGTAGTATCAGGCTAGTAAACGGGAGGACCTGGGTTCAACTCAAGTGGAGGCATTGAAAAAATAATGTCCCCTGTTTCATTTTCCTGGATGATAATTCTGAACCATGAAATATTAGTAGTAGCATTCAACAAGAAATCATTATATATCCTCCATATAATTATGTAAGTTAGGACAAAAAATGAATTAAACTAAACAGAGTATTGAGTAATTATACAGGTAAACTCTATTTGGTAATATGATGAAACAGTTGAGTGTAGTTTTTACAAAGCAAAAAAGTTCACCTAGTACCAATGAATTCCAAATGAATAAAATATGATATATAAACATAAAATCTTGTTGGTTACTTCAAGAAAAAAATCCTTGGTATTCTAACATACAAAATTTTGAAATATGATTTGCCACAGAAATTAAGGTTTCATGTTATTTTGATAGCGCTAAGAAGTAATTGTTTTGCTCTATCACAAATGAATGTTGAATTTCTTTTCAGGCTGATGAGAGCATCAGTGAGGAGTTAGAAGCCGCACGTATGATCAAACGTCGTGTGGAACATTTAAAAGAGGCAGAATCTTTAGAGCCACATGCTAAACCTCTATGGCACAAGAAGAGACTAGATCGAATGCTGGTGGAATATTTTCTGAGATCTGGCTACTACAATACAGCTATTAAATTGGCACAGCATTCAGACATTGAGGTAAAAAAGGGCTGCTGGTTAATCGGTGGTGGTGACTAGATACTAGCAATTCCACAAGTCTTACACTTGGGACAAGTAGATTTGTGTTATGACTAGTGAAATCTCAATATTTACATTGAAAATATAGTTAAGGATTGTAAAATTTTGCAAAATCTGCTTGTGGGCTTGCACATTTATACATAACATCAAAGATTTTCTTATGATATTTTACTAAACCCATGCTTGGCAAAGCCTGACTAAAGTGAAAACTATCTCGTATGAAATAGATCCTGAGTTGGACCCTATATTAATCACATGCTGAAGCTGTCATGCATTGTAATATGTGATGTGTGTAATAATGTTAAGTTGCTGACTTGGGTTGAGGGCAAGAGGTTGTTGTTACTAAAGTCCTAAAACAAAATAAAGCAGAAGGAAGAAAAGATTTGGATTAGGATCTAACAAACATCTAAGGCAGAAGCCTTCTTTCAGGCAAAAGAAGATGTAATAGTTGAAGCAGTATTATGTGTGTAGCTGTTTACCTTACTTACTGAAAGGATGTTGGTTTGAGAGGAGGGGTAGGGCAGCACCTATGACAATATAAGAATTTCCTAGCTATTTACAACCTGGCCATGGGTTTTCATTACAATACAGTTATCTTATCATGAGTTATGGCGAAAGTTACATTAATTTATTACAATGTATGTTTAGCATGCTGAAAAAAAACCTTCTTTTACAGGATCTGACAAATATTGACTTATTTCTGACATCAAAACAAGTGGAGGAATCACTTTCACGAAGGGAGACAACTCCATGTCTTAATTGGTGCTATGATAATAAATCAAAATTGAGAAAAATGAAGGTTGGTACACAAATATAAGAAAACGATCAAAATCATACTAAGTGAAGGTTTTATTTTCTTGCCATAATTATATAATTCTTGACCCTTAACTCATTCACCCCTGAAATTTCATGATGAACTATTCCAACCTTTGAATCTGAAGAGTTCAAATGTGTCTCCAGGGGTGAATGAGTTAAGGAAATACTGCAATAGTGAATGCAGGTGATTTATTATTTTGATAATTTCAAGAAATGTTATAAATCACAGTAGAAGTATAACAATGAAGAATTAATATGGCAGTCAAGACTTCCGCCCGCCCTGTAGGTTAAAACAGTAAATATCACAAAACTGTTGTAGAGGTATGTTGTCTAGCAATGCAATTTTGCACCACTTGATATTTGGCAAACTTTCTGATGTTGGTGCCTCTGATTAGTTAGGTGTCTAATTTGAATTCATCAACCTTTTGCAGCAACTTCATAACAAGAATAACGGATCACCATGATTGGTGGATTTTTCAGGGAAAACAGGATTTATTCACTATGAGAATACAATACAGTGGTAGAAAAAAATCATTTTTTGTGTAGCATGTAAGCAAAGGTGACATAAAGGGAACAATTTTTCTGCATTGACATCTTCAAAACTAGTTTCTGTGTGATTACTCTTGTAGGAATACTTAGCTTTTCATAAAGCTTCCTTCACATGCCTTTAGTATCAATAACACACTCAAGTTCAATTTAAACCCAAATCTGAAAATCTATATGAACACCAGTGAGGGGCACATCCACTTCAGGGGATTTCTTGTTTAGATGCAATGTACAAGTAAAACTGCTGTTGACAGGGTTTTTGTGTAAGTTTTGTTGGACCTTCATCTCTGACTGTTCAACAACTTTTACAAATGTGGTTGTATGAATTGTTTCTATCTCTTTCTTCACTTTTACTATTTCTAATATTGTTTAGTTTTACACTTGTATGCAATGAGATTTGAAAGCTTGTTAAAGCTGATATCTTTTAATTTATTTGCACTGTTTTGTCTTTTTAGAGTACTTTAGAATTCAAACTTCGTCAACAAGAATTCATAGAACTGGTGCGAAGTAATCAGAGGATGGAGGCTGTAAGGTAAGCACACTGCAGTTTCACATCTAGACCTGTATTCATATGAAACAGCTGGTACATTTCTTAAGCCTTCCTTCACAATGAAATTAGGTTGTATCAGAAACCACAAAGGATAAATGTTCAAGATGTCTGCAAATAAATCTTTGTAATTGAGGCAAAATTTGTTATTAGAATTCTGGATTTTTAAAAAAAAGCTTTACAATTCTGTGTTTGTGTTAATCAGCCATAATGCTCTTAAGAGAAAGCATTCTGTTGGTTTGTATGAAATTGGATACTGTGGTGACATGCTGACTTGTCAAAAGAGTATTCCGTCTGCGTATTGCAGAGTTATCATCTCTTGTGAGCAGGTACTGATTGTTACGTCATTGGTTTGTGTGAGAAAATTACGCGTTATCTAAAAAAATTGGTGACGTTACTCTCACAAACCAATGACGTAACAATCAGTAACTGCTCACAAGAGAAGGTAACTCTGCAATACGCAAAGACGGAATAGTAGTAAACCCTTTGTTTAATTGTATTATGAAAACAATTTGAGATAAATAGTGTAATCAAGATATCTGATACAGAATACATTTGTAATGGAAGTAGACTAGTAGAAACAAGGACTGCACGTATGGCAATGTATCTTAGTGAATATGTTGGCTCCAGGCATTCATTTTGTTTTCAATAAAAAACAACAACTTCATATTGCATGAACTGAAATTGATGCATACTGTATTTTACTTTTAGGCATGCAAGAAAATATTTTGTAAACTTAGAAGACGACCAATTATCAGATGTTCAGAGAGTGATGGGACTCCTAGCATTTCCTAGTGATACGAGTATTACAACTTACCAGGTAGGTACCTGTCTGGTGTTACACCTCTCATTCAAATGATGGAGCCTGTTCATTTATGCAGAACAACCGGTATGTCCGTTTTTAAATGTAAAATTTTTGGGTAAAATCCTGGAGGACCTGCGAAAGTTTAAGCAGGCCTTGTAAGTCTTGGTCAAGGCTCGCCTGAAAGCAGCGTCAGATTACTAGGTCCGACCTAATTTCATAAACGAACAACTCTGGTCCAACCGGTTCAACCGTTTAGACCAGGATAAACGAAAACGGCCTTGATCGTATCAGATAGGTACCTCATGCTGGCCTTATACCGTACCACTGGGTCCATGAAGGTACTGCTGATACTGGTAAATCACCTTAGGCTATATAAATGTTATTTACCCAGAATAAAGATATTTTATAAGATTTTAGAGAACTTTATTTCATGATCATTCATATTTCTTGTATTTTCCCCAGAAGTCTAGTTGTCATGTTCAGATTAATGATCCAGAATATGCTGCCACACATTTCTTTGATCTGGTTTAAAATTCACAAAATACACAATGTTTAAGATTGTTTTCACATCATTCAATACATAATGCTGAATAAATTAGGTGATAAATTTCTGGGACAAACAATTTTGACAAATCTGAAGGTAATTAGAAAAATGTTATTTTTAGAGTTTAAACTTTCTGAAGGTCTGCTGGTGTGGTGTATTGTCTTCTTCACACATGATTCAGAACCACTCCCAGGGGTAACCAGTTACGCTCACTTTTTCGCTCTCTGCTCCTCTGGAATATGTCATAGCAAAATTGAAGGCATGCAGCTAGCTGTTTGATGGGTCTCAGGTAAATAAAAACTCACCAATCACTAGGCTGATACCTGTCCTTTGAAGATTACAGAGGAGCGACCCCCAACTTCAAAGCCAGTCATTTTTACCGTGTTATGCGACCGTGTTATGCGACCGAGAGATTCTTTCGATGTACATCAAAGGATCAAACTAGTCTTCTCGTTTCATCCACAAAGTGGCGCACACTGAGCCTTTGATTTTGTCATGACATATCCCAGGGGTACAGAGAGCGAAAATGAGGATCGAGGATGACATTCAGAGCTACTGGGAGAAATTTTCAAATCATTATGCTAAAATAAGTCCGGCTTCTCTTATAATTACCTATTCAAGGGTGCCTTACTAATGAAATAAAGGTGCATGGTGTATGTTATATGATTGAATTAATTTCTATGAAGTTGTGTATTATAAACAGGTAGCACATGTTTGTTGATTGTTGGCGGGTCTTCTTGATCCTTATTAACTTGAAACTATTGTTCAATAAACAAGAGTTTTCATTTCCAAAAAAAAACAGATACACACTGTATTATTTGTCATATGAAATTTGGATACTTTTGTTGAATTTAGGACCTGTTAGATGACAAGCGATGGCAGGACTTGGTACATCAATTCCGCTTTGAGAATTTTAAACTTCACCAACTCAACCAGTCATCAGTGTTTGCTGTCAGTCTACAGGCAGGGTTGTCTGCCCTCAAGACACCGTATCCTTTAAACTTGTTCATCTCTAGTACAGTATGATGTTCTCATCAGAAAACTTTTTGAATACAGAAAAAACAAGTAAAGTCAGCATTTCTTTTCAGACTGGACACCTTGGTTAGGAGAAAATTTACAAATAAATCAGTTTACATATTCTTTCACTTAAAGTCACAAGTTATATGTAGAGTTCATTGTGTGTATATTTCCATTTGCTCTACACTTCCACTATATAACCTGACCAAACAAAATAGAAATATATCAGATCATAATTCTCACATAATTTCCATTGGTGTAGTGATATAAAGAATATGTTCGTGGTGTCGTAACTAAATGATGTTGTTTTGACACAAACTTTATTTCTTGCCGGGAACAGTTGCCTGTACTCATGACGTCACAAGAACAGGTCCCAGACAGCACGAAATTTGACTGTAAAATGCGAAAACAGGTTGGAAATATAAGAAAAACTTAAATTCAAAATGGAAATATAAGTATTAAACTGCCTTCTTTGGAAATTTATTGTCCTATAACTCTCACAGGATTGTAGACAAATTGAATAACGTGTTAGCCCGTTATGATTAATTTGTCTGCAATCCTGTGAGAATTATAGGACAATAACTTTCCAAAGAAGGCAGTTTAATGCTTAATTAAAAATCTTTCTTACTGATGTGTAACAGTATTGTCACTGACCGATAGTTTCAAGCTCTCAAGATCAATTAATACAACTTTCGACATGTAAGAATTAATGCCACCAACACATTGTCATATAGAAGAAAAGGTATATATATTAAAGATGTGTTTTGGGAAAAAAACTCTTAATCTTCATTGTCCTTCCTTCATCAACTGAACTTATGAGATCGTTAATTTTGAATTATTTAAAAAAAAAAAAAATGAAAATATGTTAAACCTTACTTATTTTGAAAGTTTTTGGTTAAAAATCCACAGCAATAATGGACCATGAAGGAAGTAAAATGCTCTTTGAATTCCAAGGGTTACACTCACAATATAACATTGAGAATACTTCCATTTTCTTAAATAAATATAAACCACAACAAATCGTTACCCTCAATGACTAGTTTGTGTCTATTGGAATCATACCTCAAACAACATTTTCTCTTCTGCTCTTTTTACTGTTTTTGAAGTGATTTCAATCACCACATGTAAAGTTGTCAATGCAGATGATGTTTTAATTAATTTTGATGTAAGTAAGATTGAAATTCCCAGAGATATAAGATGATTTATTAAAATTACAATAAGTTAAATTGAATTAGATGAGATAAATCTTATTAAACGCACTAGTTGGCAGGGGCTGTTGTTAACCACATGAACATTTAAATAATCGGTATGTCATGCTTAAGTTTATATTTTGTTGTTCCAAATTATTTGATATACATTTAATGTAAAAAAAATCTTTCTTAAGACACTTTGTGTGTTATTGGCTTTCTGAATGCCGGCCAATGGAAAATGTGTCATTTATATCATAGGCAGTGCTAAATTCCTTCATATTGTTGGGAGAGATTTGTTGAAGTTTCACCTGTAATTTAGATATTGCACCGAAGAAATTCAAATCCATGCAGTTAATTTAGTGAGACTTGTCCATGAGTCATAACATTATTACCACTCCAATCAGGCAATTTGAATTATCAGTGAGGATGGGGACATATGCTTAACAATAGCTATCATATATTTCGTGCTCCTTGGGGCCGCGGTGGCCAAGTGGTGAAGGCGTCTGACATTATGCTACCACTGGCCCTCGACCACTGGGTCACGGGTTCGAGGCCTACGTGGGGCAGTCGCCAGGTACTGGTCGTTGGTCAGTGGTTTTTCTCCGGGAACTCGGGCTTTCCTCCACCACCAAAACCCGGCACGTCCTTAAATGACCATAGCTGTTAATAGGACGTAAAAAACAAAATATTTTGTGCTGTATTCAGTAATGAATGTGGGTTCCCTAACTCTGCCCCAGATTTTGTTACAAGGGTGAGCACGAAGGGAGAAATGCTGACTGTCCTGTGTGTGTGAAGAACCTGAACGAGCTTGCACGACCACTACCCTACGCTCACTGTGCCAACTCCAAGCTCATCTGTACTATCACGGGCCTGCCCCTGAATGAGCACAATCCCCCGATGTCACTCCCAAATGGTCATGTGTATGGCTTTAATGTAAGTTTACTAAAGCTGTTAATATTATTGAAATTTCATTAACTGTACTGCTTTGTTATACTGATATTCTATCCTGATTGTGATGCAAACCACAATGATAGAAACTGTAACAACAGTTTTTTAAGCAATATTTCAAGAGCCTTATCTACTCTTTAACTATCATTGGCAATGATGTCTTGATTATAAACAAAAAATGCTGAGGGTTCAATATTAATACAAGACCACCTACCTCTCGTGTAAAAGTCTTGATCACTCATGTTAAGTTAAAAATAATGCTGAAGGTAAAGGGTATTACATTTCACTGTGTAAACAAAACAATTTTGCTTATAAGTTTTACCATAACTGCAATTCAACAGCATTTTGTTTCATTTCATGAATGATCAATGATCAATCATCAGTCTAAGAGAAATAGTGAATATTGATCACAAATTTTGAAGCCATTCTCAACACTATAAATCATGTTTTTTATCTAAAGCATTTATCAGTTACCAATATGTTCTGTAAATGTTGCTTTTGTCATGTGTCCGAGGAGGTCTAATACTGGACAGAAATACACATAGATATTGAAAATATACTTATTTTAACACTCCTTACTTCATCACAAAGGGAATTTTTGAATTCAGATAGTTCAGTCTTAAGTAAATTGTTGTTATAATCTCTCTTATTTGAGAGAAACTAGTTCTTACATAATAATTATTATTTTGCACAAATTTCTTTTAATGTTTAAAAAAATGCACCTACCAGTTTCTTTTTGTTGTTCCAGTCTTTAGCTGAACAAGCTGCACAAAATGATGGGCGAGTGGTGTGTCCCAGAACCAGAGAAATATTCCACATAGACGAGGCAGAGAAAGTCTTCGTCATGTAGATCCAGCTGACTAGTGTCTCAGTGTATGCCCTTGTATACTTCCTTCCCTGCAAAGCTGTGCTGCTAGTATTCGCTAAATGTTTCATCAAGACTACCCCACAGAGAATTGCATTACAACAATCAAAATTGACAAGTTTCACATCTAACACAAGGGTAAAATTACATCTTGTTGTGAGACATGCATAATGTGTATATTTACTGAATTCTACAAACCACAGCGTAGAGAAAATCATCGGACCAATCTTTAAATATATCTACTAATTTCTAGTACACGTATGGTGATATGGTTCTTTCAGTATATCTATTCAGTATAGGTTCCTCTACCCATGTCTGCAGTAGACCATACCTGTTATACACTATACTATTCCAACATCATACATTTATTCTCACGGGGAAATGAATTTCCTTTGAACAGGTGGTGCTAGTAATACTGTTTTTGTCATCTGCAAATATAACATCTCGGTTTAAACAGAAGATGTGAAGGGTTTCTTTATCAAGGGAGAGTAAAGTTTTAACAAAAACGGCTACCATTTACACTTGAATGAAATTATTTACAATCCCCTTCTTCCAGAAGTTTCTTCTAACCTTTCAGATGACTCAGAAGATATGTCTTCTATGCCGAAGCTACAAGTAACATCTTCCTGTCATCTTGTTGTTTTAAGTGAACAGATTATGAAGTTCTCTGTTGCATAAGTTTGGCTTTCATGGTCAATGTCTGTGCTGCTAATTGTTTGGAAAAAAAATATCTTAATTTTACATCAAAGGTAAAAATTAACGTTATATTTATTTCTTCAAACAACTACTATAGACATAGACCATGAAATTACATCAAAGGCAAAAGTGACTTGGCTATTTGTTAACAATAACTTAAATTGTCCATGCACTTTAATCGAACATGGAATTGTTCCTCTTCTTAGTAAAACTTCTTTAGAAGAAGACTGCAAATATGTCATTCTTGTATAAGTGGAGATTCCAGTAATATGTGTTCCAGTTACAACATTGTACAATTTCTTAAAACTATTAAGGCTGGGGTTTTCTGGTTGTTGTGGTTAAAAAATAATTGAAATGACATGTACATGACATGCCACATACTCTTCCACTTTCCCAGGGGAAGAGTTCAGGCACTGTGACTCGAACTCCCCAACAAACACAAGGAAACATCTCCATTGGGAAGGGGTCATAAAAGAATAAAGACAAACCTTTCCCAAAAAATAGAAGTCATTCCTTTGATTCAAAGTGACTTGTTTGGCCCAGCTTGAAATCTTGTATGTTTTATGAACCAGTTATCAGAACAAATCCTGTTGATGTTTAAAAGAAATTCATGGTAAATGCAATTATAAGATACCCAGGTAACAAGATTTGCTAATGTGTCATGAACATTATTTTTTCAACAGATTACCATGTACAAAGATTTATTCATTTGTCAAAAGTGTTGTTTTTTACAACTAGCTAGACACTGTAAATGTAGCTGTCATATTGACAGTTGTAAGTAGCATTGTTCAAATGAGAAGTGTGTTGATGCAGGCTGAATGATTTGAATGAAGGTCAAGGATATTTGTTTATATTTCAAGCAGTCTTTCAAATCCAAAATAATGTGTCTGATTGTTATAAAAGTAAACATCTTCACAATATGAAGGTCTAGTTCTATTTTCAGAGTTGCTGCATGTTATACTTCAACATGTCTTGATATAGCATTTCTCTTGGTGCCGTAACCCCTACTTTGCGTTGGTGCCTAACAATCTTGACTTTGGGCCAGATGGTTCGTGGAACAGATGACAGATTAGCTCCTAAAGATATCTGTTCACCTCGAAAACATTTGTATAGGACCCAGCTATTGGATGTGAAAAGAACTAAACGAACTCAATTACCCCTGAAGACACGTTTGAACTCTTTCTATTCAAAGATTGGAATAGTTCATTACAAAATTTCAGGGATGAATGAGTTAACACAAGGTGTACACTACCGTATACAGGGAAAGTTTTGCCCAGTCAAATACTAGAGAGAATAATACATGTTTTTTTCCATATCACACCCAGTATCAACCCGAGACTGCGATATCAGCCCGAGGGCCGATATTGGTCGAGGGTTGATACTTGGTGTGATATGGAAAAGGGCATGTTTTATTCTGAATATTACATACTTACTAATAAAAGCTACTATCTTATGATCTATATTTCTTTTGAAATATTGAAAAGCGAAAAGTTTCCAAAAGGGTTGTGTTAAAGGTTTTGCGGGCTGATACGTAGAGGGCTGATACTGGTTTTGGGGTGTGATACTTCCCTGTATGCAGCATGTTGTTGGTGTACAGTGACTGAGTTTAGGTTTAAACCTTGTTATGAAGATTAACTTTACAATGCTGTGTTTGAAAAGATGAAAGAATATTATACCTGACAGTTTTTTTTATAATTATGTACATACTGTTATGTAACCAGTGAAAGGTATTGGGATGTCTTTGTGAGTTTATAAGTACCAGAGTTTGCAGTGATGGTGCCCCGATACTTGCTCATGTTCTCTAATTATATTAAAGAAAAATCATATAATTATTTTATTTAGAAGCATAGTATAAGAAAATGTGTAATTGAATTTCATGTATTGACTACAAAACTTCCTTAAAAAATATTAGACATAATTTTTATTAAATTTGTGCAAAACAAAAATGCATGCCGTAAGGTACTGACACCCCATGACTTTTAGATTGCAGCAGCAACAAACATGGGAAAATCACCAGCGAGTGCAAAAATATTAAAGTTTTTACGTAACTGAAAATTTCATTTGTAATAGATTTACAACATATATTAATTTTATTGTTGTAGTATGATTATATTTACATTTTTTTCCTGTGTAAAATATACATACATTGACCAGGAATACCATTAACTAGAAGTAGGGATTATCTGGTGTTAGAACAATGTGTACATGTGACATTATAATTTTTGACATATTTTTGTTCAGGAAAAAACCCCAACAAAATTAGAAGTTGTATATGAGTGGTCATTACTGGTATCACCAAAATACAATCCAGGATCATGGTTAATACAGCAATGAGGAGCCGTGGTGTCCAAGTGGTTAAGGTGTCTGACATTCCGCTACCACTAACCTTCCACCACTGGGTCGAGGCCTACTTGGGGCAGTCGCCCTAGGTTGGTGGGTTTTTTCATTGAACTCCGGCTTTCCTCCACCACCAAAACCTGGCACATCCTTATATGACCATAGCTGTTAATAGGACGTAAAACACAAACAAACCAAATACTACAGCAATGCACTAAACATTTAAGGTAAAGGGTACTGGCTAGTTAAACTGTATTAATACCTCTGTCACTGTTGAGAAATATTTGTTTAAAACCTTTTTGAAAAAATCACATGTTGCCATACATTTGACAGCATTGTAGGAGTTCTAAATTTGAAAGCTTGAAAATAAAAATAAAAATAAGAAGAAAACAAGAAAATTGTTACTTTACAGGAAATCTACAAGCTCAACATCAAAAAGTGAGTGTCCAATTGATTGATGGCCCCCTCCCCNTGTAGTGGTACCCTTTACCTTCATGCTTCATGTAGGGGAGAACTAAGGGCAGGTAACTCTGTATTACCCCGACTGATATGAATGAGCCATCATCATACATGACATTGCCATAAGTATTAAGGAGAGAATGATTACAGATAGGCCTACAGAAAGTGATATGTGAAAAGCTTAGAAACATTCATTATTTTCATAATATACATTAATCATGAACATGTTCATTTTAATTGAGGAAGGAAATGTTTGCGGAGTACAAGTGGAAAGATGTGTTCTGTTGGCTGCAATAAGGATCTACCTGTAAATGTGAGGCGGAGTGTTTTTTCGTACTTTTGTATACAAGTTACACAGAATGTTTTGACATATGGAGATACCATAGTTGTTTTGGGTTTGTATAAGATTGTGCTGATTGTGTGCATGCCGACATGTAAACCATTTGATGTCATGATTTTGGAATGGAAGTACTTGATGTTTACTGAACCAAAAGGTCAAAGGTTACTTCCTGTGGCACTGTTATCTGTTGACTGCTGCAGTAATCACATTATTGGGTCAAGTTATGCAGTCTGGTTCAGAATATTAATTATCTGTTCATTTGATGTTGAACTCTTACATTATAGGTCAGTTTGACCTAGTTCTGTCATATCTTAAGAGCAATTGATCAACATCTTACACAATGCAAGTCATTTTTGAACAGATATGTTACAGTTTGATTCTGCTTCATATATTAGTAGATAATATTTCAAAAGTGATCTAGGAATCTATGTTACCAGTAGTTTTCCCCATGCATGATAATATGCCCCTCCCTTCTCGAATATGTTTTATAAATGACTGACCGGTATACAGTTGTTACTTATATAGGGACAAATTCAGAGTAATCCTGATAACAATGTTACTCAGTTTCTGAAGATTTTCCCCCCTTGCTTGTCACAGGTAACTTTTTTACCACTGACAGTTTAACTTATTACCACTGACAACACAGTTTACTGCCAGTGACAGTACAGCTTATTACCACTGACGATAAATGTTATTACCACTGATGATACAGATTATTACCACTGACAACACAGTTTACTGCCAGTGACAGTAAAGCTTGTTACCACTGATGGTAAATGTTATTACCACTGACAACACAGTTTATTGCCAGTGACAGTACAGCTTATTACCACTGACGGTAATTTTTTTTACCACTGATGATACAGCTTATTACCACTGACAACACAGTTTACTGCCAGTGACAGTAAAGCTTGTTTCCACTGATGGTAAATGTTATTACCACTGACAACACAGTTTACTGCAAGTGACAGTACAGCTTATTACCACTGACAGCAAATGTTATTACCACTGTTGATACAGTTTATTACCCCTGACGGTAATGGTAATTACAGAAAAGATATAGCTTATTTCCACTGACAACACAGTTTACTGCCAGTGACAGTACAGCTGATTACCACTGACAACACAGTTTACTGCCAGTGACAGTAAAGCTTGTTTCCACTGATGGTAAATGTTATTACCACTGACTACACAGTTTATTGCCAGTGACAGTACAGCTTATTACCACTGACGGTATTTTTTTTTACCACTGATGATACAGCTTATTACCAATGACAACACAGTTTACTGCCAGTGACAGTACAGCTTATTACCACTGACGGTAAATGTTATTACCACTGTTGATACAGTTTATTACCACTGACGGTAATGGTAATTACAGAAAAGATATAGCTTATTTCCACTGACAACACAGTTTACTGCCAGTGACAGTACAGCTGATTACCACTGACAACACAGTTTACTGCCAGTGACAGTACAGCTTATTCCCACTGACAACACAGTTTACTGCCAGTGACAGTAATCTTATTACCACTGGCAACACAGTTTACTGTCAGTGACAGTACAGCTTATTACTATTGACAGTATTATTACCACTGAGAATGTAGCTTACCACTTCTAAAATATAGCTTTTCTGTACAGGGAAGTTGTGTACGTAGGTCGATATATATTGATACTGATGTAGAAACATTGGGATTAAGACAGTATATGCTCCAACTTTGTCAAATCTTTAGAACAGCAAAGAAATGAAATATAAAGAAAATGTACTAATTGTATCAGATAATGTACTCCCACAAAATACACTCCATATGTATTTCTAGGTATGTGGAACTATGATGTGCATCCTGTGTAAATGGTATAACAACCACAATAGGTGCCTGGTTATAACTATCAACAATGAAACCTGGCTAGCCTGCATATTATCTGGGGGGGGGGGAAACGGTTTTTTAAGTTAGGAAAAACGATTCATCATTCAAAATCATTTTGCTGCTTTCACATGTACTTTATTTTGCAAACTTTGTAGTAGATTTTATTAATGAATATTTAAATTTTCAATTGAGAACTTGCGATAATTGATACATCAATTAATATTGATAGAAATCCATAATGGAATTAATATTTTAGGAAAAATAAATGGTAAAAATTTATGTTTTACAATGTGAAATAAAAGTGATTTACATTAGTAATTCATGTTTAACGAATACATACAATAAAAATTGTGTCAAGAGAATTTTCTGCACAATAGGAATCTGGATTAGTTTTAATCTAAATTGATGGATTCCATTATTTATTCTCACATTTTGGCTTCTGAAATTATCCAAAAAATATTTAAATTTGAATTTTTAACCCCAGAGAGTTTCACCATGCTTCTACGTAATGGTCACCTTCATATCAGTCCCTGTATACCGTAATCGTGGAAATTATTGCAGTGCAGAAATACTCGCATTTTCAGGTTGAGTGTAACTGGAAAATATCCACGCACAAATATTTATTAATAGATTATAAATGGTTAGATAAATAGACTTCATAACCATTACCAACTCCAAAATGTCCACACCTCGATCGGTTCAAAGAGTCAACTGAACATGTTCATGTGCAAGAATTTCCACTTTTATAGTATCATTCGATTTTGAGAATAATTTCCTGAAAGGTTGAAAGTCAGTCATGTTGCAGAAACAACCATGTTAATTTAATAAAATAAGAAAAGAATATCATCAAATGATGACTTTTTGGCTATGAGGCAGTTACCTGATTTAAGTTCCAAAGGGGGATAACTGCTGAG